GACCCATGGTCGACTACGTGGGAGTCCAGCGACATAGCCATTACGCTAACTGCTGGTTCCCAGTAGTAGTATTTATTTGACCAGAGAGTGAGAGAAAGGGAAAGCAAGAAAGCAAGCCACTAGGTCAAACTGTGGTCAGCCATGTGAAAGTCCAGTGCTTTAATCACCTTGCCACCTGTATTTATGACCCAAGGGTCTTAACTATTGCCTCAACAGAAGAGTCATGATGCATTTTTGCATAGAAAAATGTGGAAAAACATGTCATGATTTTTCTGATGACCTAATAGATATATTGGGAAGGAGAAGGAATTGAAATGTCTGGTGGTTAAGACTTAGGTGAGGGACCAGCAGTTAGTGTAATGGCTATGTCATGGACTCCCATGTAGTCGACTGCGGTTGGAATCTCGGACCCAGTGGCTTAAACTCACGCTGGGCACGTGTGCATGCATGCCCAAGATCCCAAGAGGAGAATGGAGAAGGGATTGTGGTGTGGCCATCCGCCCTGGGGGGTGATTTCTCGCTTTCTGTCTCTCTGACCCTCTCTGTCTTTCTGGCGAGCGCATGCACCCTAAGACTTAGGTGATACTGCTCTTTCAAAAGAAAATATACTTAAAGAGTAGAATATTATTTTTGCTTCTTGAGAAGTATAAAGGAGTGAAATAATCTGTGGGAAGGAATGTTTTTTGGAAACATTGACTGACTTTTTCAAGACACTGGGTCCAAGACTTGAACTCCAGTCGACCTCATGGGATTTCAGCACCTTAACCACAACACCACATGCCAGCCCTGTGGGAAGGAATTTTAACAAGAGCATCTGTAATTGTGATTAGCGTTTTAACTCTGCCTCAGCAGTTTTTCAGGTTCGTTACAAACCTGCAACAGTCAACTGAGTGTATTAACTCAAAAAAAAAATTTTAGCCAGTGGACTAGGCACACTGGCTAGTAATAGGGGAATATTAATACTGAAATTTCTAATAGGAATGATAACTATACACTAGAATCTTTTTTTTTTAAGAGAGATTTTTGCTATAGGGCACAAGCACTCACTAGAGAGACTAGAGAGACAGAAAGTGAGAAATCACCCTCCCTGGAGGAATAGCCACACCGCATTCCCTTCCCCATTCTCTTCTTGGGATCTTGGGCATGCATGCATATGTGTCCAATGTGAGTTTTAAGCAGCTGGGTCTGGGACTAGAACTGTGGTTGATTATGTAGGAGTCCAGCGACATAACCATTATGCCATCTGTTGGTTCCTAAAATCTGTTTTAATGCATATTTAAGATTTCAAGGTGTTGGGGGCCAGCAGGTGGTGTGGTGGTTAAAGGTGCTGGATTCCCACATGGCCAACTGTGGTTCAAGTCCTGGCCCTGGTGGCTTGCTTTCTCTCTCCCTCTCTGTCCCTGTCTCGTCAAATTGAAATAAACAAATGAATAAATAGATGGGGTTAAATAAGATAATTCTTTAAACAACAACAAAAAAAAGATTTCAAGGTGTAATTTGACTCTGATACTTTACAACTGCATTTTTTTGTTCAGTGTACACTTGCTGAGCTTATCCTGATATTTTTTTATAGTGAACCCCTGCAAAAAGAGCTCTATTTGCAGTGCATTTGATTGATATATATAATGTAGACTAGTCACCATTTTCTAATCATTTTGTCTTTATAAAGCAATCTGAAGAGGATGTGAGTCAGTTTGATTCAAAGTTTACACGTCAGACACCTGTCGACAGCCCAGATGACTCAACTCTCAGTGAAAGTGCCAACCAGGTCTTTCTGGTAAGTGAAAATATTCCCATGTAGCCATGGAAAATTTAAACATGATAGGCCCTTCAATTAGAAAATTCAGATTGCTTGCTTTGTAGTTCATGTAGGTAACCTGACTTAACCAAAATCCTGAAAGGAAACATGGAGGAGAAGAGATTATGGAGTGACCATCCCTTATGGGTGGTGCTTTCTCACTTTCCCTGTCTCTGTCTCCAGTGAGTGCACACAACCCCTCTAGCAAATCAAGCAAAAGAAGGGGAGAGGAATAGAGCACTACCAATGGGGTATGGTCACATTGCAGTCGCTTCTCCTCCATTTCTCCTTCTCAGGATTTTTGGCATGCATGCTCATACTCCTTGGTGTGTTTTGCATACTCCTTGGTGTGTTTTGCAAACCACTGGAGCTGGGATTAGAACCACGCAGTCAGTCATGTAGGAGCTGACTTCCTTAACCACCAGGCCACGAGGCCATACCTTAAAATTTGTTGGTAGTGGGACCAACAGTTAGTGTAATGGCTGTGTCACTGGACTCCCATGTAGTCCACCCCAGTTTGAATCCCGGACACGGTGGCTTAAACTCACTCCAGGTACGTGTGTGTGCGTGTCCAAATTCCGAGAAGAGAATGAAGGAGAAGGGATTATGGCATGGCCTCCCCCCTGGAGAGTGATTTCTTGCTTTCTGTCTCTCTGTCTCTGTCTTTCTGGCAAGCACATATGCTGTATAGCAAAAACCTCTCAAAAAAAAAAAAAAAAAAAGATTATTTTTGGTACCTAGAAAATTGACTTTCATAGTCCAGTATTCCATTTGGCAGTTAGAATGGAAATGTATACTTCTTTGGAGTGTATGATTTCATTTTTGGTTGGGAACTGACTTAAGATGTGTTTGGTTTATTATCATCTCAACCAAAAACCTTAGCTCTGATATTCTTTAAGACTACAAGGGGTTCAGGTAAGTCTGAATGTATGATATCAAAATGTATTGGTTCACCCGAGAGGAGAATGGAGGAGAAGGGGTTGCATCATGGCCATCGCCTCTGGAGGATAATTTCTCGCTTTCTGTCATTGTTTCTGTGTCTCTCCAGTGAGTGCATGTGCCCTGTAGAGGAAAATCTCTCCAAAACAAAAGTATTGGTTCATATGGATAGTAAATTAATTAATTCTCACTATAGAAGTAACTATAGGGACGAGCAGTTAGCGTAATGGCTATGTTGCTGAACTCCCATGTAGTCGACCGCAGTTCAAGTACCGGACCAGGCAGTTTAAACTCATACTGGACGCGTGTGTGTGTGTGTGCCCTAGATCCCGAGAGGAGAATGGAGGAGAAGGGATCGCAGCATGGCCATCCCCCCTGGGGGGTGATTTCTTGCTTTCTGTCTCTGTCTCTATTGACTTTCTGGCGAGCACATGTGCCCCGTAGCAAAAACCTCTCCGGAAAAAAAAAAAAAAGAAGTAACCATATAGGTTTATAACTTGTCTTGTCAGAAAAGGGACGTTTTTAGGTACTTAAGAGCAAAAGTGATGGATATATATCAAATGACCCTCAGCATACATTTTGTCTAAATATCATACATGCTTACAGTTATTTTATTATGTATTTATGTATCACAAGTTTCCTTTTGTTTCCTTTGTCAGTTGTCATTCTGTGTATTTTTTTTAGAAAGATTTTTGCTATAGGGTGCATGTGCTCACTGGAGCGACAGAGAGTGAGAAATTACCCCTCAAAAGAGGATGACCACACTGCAGTCCCTTCTCCTCTACTCTCTTCTTGGGATCTTGGACATGTACACACATACACTGGCATGAGTTTTAAGCCACCAAGTCCAGAACTTGAACCATGGTCAACTACATGGGAGTCCAGCAACCTAACCATTATGACATCTGCTGGTCTCATTCTCTGTATTCTTTATCCTTCCTTTTTGCACTACCTCTGAGGGAAATACACTACCTTCTTGGAGAAAGTAATGTGCTAGAAAGATTTTTTTTTTTTCTCCACACTGCTCATAGTATGACACAAGTAGAAAAAATTGTTTTAGAAGAAACTTAGTGTACTTGTCACTATATTCTAGCTTTGCCCATACTTTAAGATCTTTTGTGGGGACCAGCGAGTGATGTGGTGGTTAAGGTGCTGGACGCTCCCACATGGCCAATCATGGTTTGAGTCCTGAACCTGGTGGCTTGCTTTCTCATTTTCCCTCTCTCTCTTTCTCTCTTTCTGTGTCTCTCTGGTCAAATTTAAAAAAAAAAAAAGAATGAATAAATAAAATTTAAAAACTAATTCTTTAAAAAAAAAGACTTTTTGTAAATCAATAAAATGTAAATAAAAAAGTTTAGTATGGAAGGGAGGAAGGGGAAAAGGGAAGGAAAAAACAAGTAAAAGTATGTTTAATTGACCAATATTGAGAAGCTTTTTGCTGATGATAATGTATATAGTAATATCCTTGTCCTGACTGACATGCATGGTATTTGTGTTGGAAAAAAGAAATGTATACTGTAAAGACATGTGATAAAATGTAAATTAAAATAAATAAATAAATGTATTTTTAAAGAAAGTTAGTGTGGAATGCAGAAATTGTGTCTACTCAAAATTACTCCTGGGGCCAGCAGGTGGCATGGTTGATCACAGTTTGAGTCCTGGATCCGGTGGCTTGAAACTCACAACAAATAGATAAATAAATACATGTTTGTTTAAAAAAATTACTCTTAAGTCACTATTGTACAGTATGGTTTTGAGGAAAAAAAAAACATTAAATAATAATATTAGGACCTGCAGATGGCGTAATGGCTACATCGTGGGACACCCATGTAGTCGACTGCGGTTTGAGTCCTGGACTCAGTGGCTTATACTCACACTGGGCGTGTGTGTGTGCCCAAGATCCCAAGGGGAGAATGGAAGAGAAGGGATTGCAGCATTACCATCTCCCCTGGGGGGTGATTTCTCGCTTTCTGTCTCTCTGTCTCTCTCTGTCTTTCTGGGGAACACACGTGCCCTATAGCAAAAACCTCTCAAAAAAAAAAAAAAGTAATAATACCGTAAATGTATGATTATGCAGTAATAGGTAAGAGTGTATATATGCAAAGCATAGTCTTCTAATATTTTTAATTTCATAAGAGATGAAAGATACACGGGTATATATTGTTAAACTTAAGTCTTATGTGTATATGTGATGCAAAGTTGCTGTATCTCTCATGTTTGGGTAGGGAAGTGGGTGTGAACCATTTTAACTTTGGCATTGTTTTCCTTTTTTTTTTTTTTTTTTTGCTATAGGGCCACTGTGTTCACTAGAGAGGGGGAGGGAAAATGAAAAAGCATCCTGCAGGGCCAGCAGGTGGAGTGGTGAGTAAGGCAGGTAGATTTCCACATGGCCTATCGTGGGTCAAGTCCCAGACCCAGTGGCTTGAAAATCGTGCTGGGGCACATGTGTACACATGCCCCAAATCTCAAGAAGAGAATGGAGGAGAAAACATTGTGGCATGGCCATTCTCCCTGTTGGGGGATGATTTCTCACTTTCCTTCTCTCTTCTCTGACAAATGCACACACAAAACCTAAAAGAAAAAAAGAAAATGTACCCCCTATGGGGGATGGCTGTGCTGCAATCCTTTCTTCTCCATTCTTCTCTTAGGACCTTGGGCACACTGCATACATGCCCAGTGTGTTTTTCCAGACTGCTGGATCTGAGACTCCAACTGTGCAGTCAGCCATATGGAATCCAAGTGCCCTAACCACCACCAATGGCTAGCAAATCCAATTGCTTGCTCTTTTTCCTCTTGTGTATTACTGATGTGAAGTCCATACCTTTGATTTAACACAGAGAACTTTTCTTCAATTGGATATTGCAGAGTTTCAATTAATTTCATAAAGTTTTCCCTATAGGTCAGCAGGTGGTTAAGAGGGCCGGATCCCACATGGCCGACTGCACAGTTTGAGTCCCCAGACCCAGTGGTTTGAAAATCAGTACACTTTTATTGTCTTTTAGGGTTTTACTTATGTGGCTCCATCTGTACTTGAAAGCGTGAAAGAAAAGTTTTCCTTTGAACCAAAAATCCGATCACCTCGAAGATTTATTGGCAGTCCACGAACACCTGTCAGGTAATTCAGATTCTGTTACTCTCACTGTATTTATTTACTTATTTAACCCAGAAGAGCACCAAAGACAGTCATATTCTCTTTGGTTGACATAAACACAGCATTTACATCTTCTTAAATTGCAAAGGACTAGTTGGTAACCTTCCCTCCTGAAAGTAAGCTTCTGTACTGGCAAATGTCCTCTTTATCAAGTCACTCAACATTCATTGTGCACCAGAGGCTGAGCTGCACGTTACATGAATATGTACATCTAATATATATAACACAGGAATTGTCCCTATGTTGGTACTGCGTATGACTTAGTGGGACAGAGTCAAAATAAGGAAGTATACACAAAAAATATGTAATGACAAGTAGTGCCAAATGGTATATAAAGAAAAAAAGAAATACAGCACGTGGTAGTAAAGAGTAGAGAAAAACAAGGGGGCTTTTATTCAGGGTCTCAGAGAAAGACCTCCCTGATGAAGTAACATCTAGGAATGAAGAGAAATTACCAGCCATACAAAAAATAGGAGGTTCAGGAGTATTACAGGCAGAACAAACGGCAAGTGCAAAACCCCTGAGAGAGGAGGAAAACTTGGACTTCGTGGAAATGCGAGGGAGGTAAGTGTTCCTAGTGTGTGGTGAGAAAAATGGCAGTGATTTGGGAAAGTATTTGAACACATGATAGAAAGCTGTTTTAAATGGGGTAACAGAAAAGTTTTTTGTTTTCTTTTTACTATCATTGAGAGTTTTAAGGGTCAAGTGTAAAAATAAAGAGATCAGTTAGAAAATTCTAACAATTAGTCTAGGGGGAAAGATGTCTCAACTTTTGCCTTTGTGGTAATCAACATGAAAATAAAATTAAATGAAAATAAATGTCCTGTAACTCCACTTTCTTTCATTGTAAGGGAAGTATATGTTTTTGAGATGATCCTTGAGACAAATGAATGATAGCTCTTCCTTGTCTTAAAGCCCAGTCAAATTTTCTCCTGGGGATTTCTGGGGAAGAGGTGCTTCAGCCAGCACGGCAAATCCTCAGACACCTGTAGAATACCCAATGGAAACAAGTGGAATAGAGCAGATGGATGTGACGACAAGTGGGGAAGCGTCAGCGCCACTTCCAATTCGACAGCCGAACTCCGGGCCATACAAAAAACAAGCTTTTCCCATGATCTCCAAACGGCCAGAGCACCTGCGAATGAATCTATGACAGAGCAATGCTTTTAATGAACTTAAGGCAAAAAAAAAGGGGGTAAGGGGATGTGTGAGCATCCTGCAAGGTGACACAAGAAGACTCAAAATGACAGTCTCAAAAGAGTCAGTGTCATTACTTAGAACACTTTGGATGAGGAAAACCAACATGGATTTTTAAAAAAATTAATCAATGGTGCAAAAACAAAAAAACTTAAGCAAAATAGTGTTGTGAAACTCTTAGGCACATCACTTAATTGATTCCTAGCGACATCTTCTCAACCTTATCAAGGATTTCATGTTGATGGCTCGAAACTGACAGTATTAAGGGTAGGATGTTGCTTCTGAATCACTGTTGAGTTTGGATTGTGTCAAAGAAGGATTATCCTTTCATTAGGCAAAGTACAAAATTGCCTATAATACTTGCAACTAAGGACAAATTAGCATGCAAGCTTGGTCAAACTTTTTCCAGCAACATGGAATCAAAGACAAAAGAAACTTATCAATTGATGTTTTACGTGCAAACAACCTGAATCTTTTTTTTATATAAATATATATTTTTCAAATAGATTTTTGATTCAGCTCATTATGGAAAACATCCCAGACTTTAAAATGCAAAATTATTGGTTGGTATGAAGAAAGCCAGACAACTTCTGTTTCTTCTCTTGGTGAAATAATAAAATGCAAATGAATCATTGTTAACCACAGCTGTGGCTCGTTTGAGGGATTGGGGTGGACCTGGGGTTTATTTTCAGTAACCCAGCTGCAATACCTGTCTGTAATACTAGGAAAAATGAATCTATTTATTCATTTCTACTTGCAGTACTGCTATGTGCTAAAGCTTAACTGGAAGCCTTGGAATGGGCATAAGTTGTATGTCCTACATTTCATCCTTGTCCTGGGCCTGCATTGCACTGGAAAAAAAAAAAAAATTGCCACCTGTTGCTATACCAGTATTTGATTCAAGACGCCAAAATGTGTTCAGCCCAAGGCTGAAAAAGGATGGAAGAGTCAGGATAAAATGCATCCTGAGAGCAGCAAAGTGAGGGAAATAGGGATATCCAGGGGAAGAGGGTGTTGCCATGCTCCACTCTCTGTCTGATCTCTTTACAGGAAATTGGTAAAGTTTTTAGTTTTACTTCTTTTTACTGTTTTTGCTGTCTACTTTCCTTACATTTTTGTCCTCAACAGTTTTAAAAAGGAAAAAAGGTCTAATTTTTTTCTCCTATACTGGGGCTACATTTTTTGATTGTAAAAATACTTGATGGCCTTTTGATGAATGTCTTCCACAGTGTATAAGAAAACTTAGTGGCTTAATTTAGGAAACATGTTAACAGGACACTGTTTTTGAAATTGTAACGAAATCTACATAAGTGATTTACAGGTACAAAGAATAAAATAAAGGTAACTTTACCTTTCTTAAATACTTCCTGCCTTAAAGAGAGCATTTCCATGACTTTAGCTGGTGAAAGGGTTTAATATCTGCAGAGCTTTATAGAAGTATATTTCAGTGCGTACTGGTATAATATCAATAGATGATCATGCAGTTGCAGTTGTCTTATCACCTCTTTTTGTTGTCTTTTACAATGTCTTCGGTCTGAGTATGCAAAGTCATTTTGTAATATTTTGCAACCCTAGGATTTTTTTAAATAGATGCTGCTTGCTATGTTCTCCAAACCTTTTTGAGCCATAGGATCCAAGCCATAAGATTCTTTGTGCATGTTGAATTCTGTCAGAAAAGAGCAAGGCTTTGCTTATTTAAACTGCAATTTCAAGTGAGATGGGATGAAATCCTATGACATTAAGCGAAAACAGAATCATGAAAACTGATCAGAAATACATCTTCTCAATTGTGGCAATAAATGAAAATCAATCAAAGTTCATCTTTGAACAGAAGGCTTTTTTTTTTTTTTTTTTTTTTTTTTTTTAAATCACTCCCTCTAGACTCCCTCCTCTCTCACTGCAGCAGCCTACTGAGAACTTTATACTGGTAGCTGGTAAGTTAGAAGCTACAATAATGATCAAGAGCAGAAATTGTATTCCAAGTGCAGATCTTTGTTCTCTGACAATTTGTAATGTCTGAAAAAAACAACCCAAAAAGGTATGGTGATACGTATAGGCATTATTTCAGACTGTAAATGGCTTGTGCTACTCTGATACTTGTTTTCAAAATGTGTTTACTAACTGTAGTGTTGATTGCCTGACCAAATTCCAGTGAAACTTATACACCAGAATATTCCTTCTTCATCCTATTTGCTAGTAACATGTGCACTGTGACTGGCTGGCTATGACCACCCCATAGATAAACTTTTCATAAATAGTAACTGCCAGCAATAGTGGCAAACACTGCGACTTTTCTGCATAAAATGCATTAACTATATGCCTACCATCTACATAAACACATAGTTTTTCTAACTTCACATTTATCAAGTGAATTTCCCATGCTGTGGCAAGTTTATTGAGAAATTGTGTTTCATAAGCGGATATCCCTACTATGACTGTGAAAACATGTCAAGTGTCACATTAGTGTCACAGACAGAAAGCACACACCTATGCAATATGGCTTACCCTATATTTATTTGTAAAAATCCAAGCATAGTTTAAAATATATGATGTCAATATTACTAGTATTGAGTTTCTAAGAGGGTTCTTTATGAGTATACCAGGTAAGTGTATAAAAGAGATTAAGTGCTTTTCTTTCATCACTTGATTATTTTCTTTAAAATCAGTTATTATAGAATATTTTTTTATTTTATACATGCTGTTTTTTAATTAAAATATAATCACTGAACTGAAGTTTACTAATTTGATTTTATAAGGTTTGTAGCATTACAGAAAACCAAACTGGGATTTATAAACCAGCTGTGATTAACAATGTAAAATATTAATTACTGAACTCGAACCAGATTTTTTAGGAAAATCGTGTTATTTCTTTTTCCCCTTTTTGGTCTTAACTAATTTTAATCCTTCAAGAAGGATTTTTCCATACTATTTTTTCAGATAGGAGATAATTTGGGGTTAGGGAAAGTTTTTTTTTCCATAAATTCAACATTCTTTACTTTAGGTAAATGATTATAACCAAGATAACATCTTATATTCTGAGCCTTGGACTTTATATTTAAGCTAATATTTTGAATATTCAGTTAGTAATATGGTTCCCTAGCTTACAAGGGCTAGATCTAAGACTATTCCCTTGAGAAATGTTGAATTTATGAAGAATAGATTTTGAGGCTTTTAAAATGGTTAGTTTCTTAATAAAAACATCAGTGTCCAAACAGCTTCCTTTTTCCAGAGGAGGAGACACTACCAAGCTGGATAAAACTATGATAAAAGTATTTGTCACACATGACCTGTGGTTGTTTCTGATTAATGCAGTATGCTTTTTGTGTGATTCTTAAAACTACAGCACAAGTATTATCTTGTGGATTATCTGGAGTAACATCTGAAAGATGGGTTCATCTATGTTTGTGTTTTCTCTATTATATTTCTCCTATCCCAAGTTGGCTTTGCATCTGTCACAGTAAATAAACTCTTCAGCTGCCTTATTAGGAGTGCTATGAGGGTAACACCTTTTCTGCTTTTTTCATCTTGTATTTAGTTTATTGTATTAAGATATTTGATTTCGGATTGAATGAATGTAAATAGAAATTAAATGCAAATTTGAATGAACATAAAATAGAAGTGATTTTTTTTATTATTTTAAAACAGGAAGAAATAACTTAGTATATATATTAAGTATACAAATGGTTTAAATAATCTTTTCTCATTTACATGCTAGATGTGTTCAAGTTCTCATATTTAACTACTTATGTAAGGAATAACAGTTGCAAAACTGTTTCTGCTGAGAAACTGAAACTATATATATAAACAATTGTTAGTGTTGAATTTTCCATATTAGATGTTAACATATTTTTGATTTTCAAGTTATGTTAAATAACAGGCTTGAATTGTTTGCTTTATGAAAAAAACTTCATGTGACAAGTTATGTGAAAGCTAGCTTCACATAACACTAGGAAGGCTTTCTTATGCTAAGTCAAGTTTGTTCAGTCACATTTGTCACATTTGATAATGTGATGTGTATGCACAAAATAATGGTAGTGCATACATCTGTTTTAATTAATGTTGCAATATATTTAGTGTAAGATGGGCTTAAACTGTTTCTTATCTATGAGGTAACTTGCCTAGGTCATTTCTCTATGGAAGTCGTGAAAGTGACTTTACCCTTTTTTATGAGAGATTTTTGCTATAGGGTGTGTGTACTCACCTGAGGGAGACAGACAGACAGAAAGTGAGAAATCACCCTCTCCTCCCGCGAGGTACATGGCCAAGTATAAGTCCAACACCTTAATCACTACACTACCTGCTGGCCCTTTTTATAAAGCAGAGTGGTATCTCTTAATGCAGATAAAACAATCTTAGCATGATCTAAATTCAGAGTAAATGGATTTTTTTATTCTCTGTTCTTTTTTCATAATAAATATAAGTAGAGAAATACTTAATGTATATCAGAATTAGTGGATGGCATAATTCTGTTACATTTACCCCCTTTTCAATTTATAAACTGCACTCCAAAAAAATTCCCCACTACTAATCCGCCTTGGACCTTTGTTATTTAATCATAGGAATAAACGAAGCTGTCTGTAGAGCTTCAGGTAAGTTACTAGTTTATATTTGCCAAATAGACATAGCAAATAAGTATTGCAATAGAGTCAAAGTCACTTAAGTAGTAAAATGCTGTTCCTGTGTTTGAATGAGAAATCATTTTGGCTAGGTTTCACAGCCAAATTCTAATCCCAAAATGCTTTGCTTCCCCCCACCACTCTTTATTAGGAAAAAAGGGAGGGGGGAAGGATAGAGGCAGAGAGAGGTCTTTTAACAGGGTTTTGCTGTATCTCATACAGCTGCTTCAGCCTCCCAGTTAAGGAGGATTGTAGGTACATGAAACCATACCCAGTGTTTTCAGGTTGACTCAGAACCAGACTTAAGCCTTTCCTGCAGCTTCTCCTTGCACAGGTATTACAGGTATTATTATTTGGTGGCATTACCTGTGCATCACCTGCAGCTAGGCTCCAAATTGTCTTTCTCACCCATCCCCCCCAACCCAAATAACAAAACTCTTAGCTTCACAGAGCCAGGAAGGAGAGGTTAGATCAAGTAAGCTTGTTTAAATAATAATTGCAGTGTTTTTCAAAATAGATAAGAGTTAAGTATTTTGTAAATGAATGAAGAATAGTTGTATTTATAACCTAGCAGTGTCTACTTGGAGAAACAAGTTAAGGCTTCCTAATGCTCTTGTCATTTTGGGTGGCCATACAGACTTGCTTGCTAAGTGACTTCACCTAGAGCTAGTTGGTTGCTTTCCTTAATCCATGTGCTGGTTTAGCCTTTGTCTTATCAATAGTGTGAATGTGTTTTCTTTTTGTTGTTATTGTTTGGTTTAATTGCCAGGGGGCTGTGTACTTACCAGATACAGGAAGGGGAAGGGAGAGGGAGAAAGACCCTTCCAGTGGGGCATTGTCAGGCAACAATCCCTTATCCATTTCTCCATCCTGTTTAGATCTGGGGCACATATACACACATGCCACATCTGTTGTTCAAATTGCTGGGACCAGGACTTGAACTGCAGTCATCCATGTGCAATTTGGCTCCCCTAACCACGAGACTATAGGGCTGGCACTGTTTTTTAACTCTGCCTTTTAAGCTTTCCTTCCCACTAGCTTTTCTTTGTGTACTAATGGATAGATTGTAATAGAGAAGTGAGCAGCAGCCTTGTACTCTAAACCTAGGTACAACCAATAGCAGCCCTTCAGACTTCTGTTAGATTTCAGATTCTACCTTGCTGGTATCAAGGAAAAGAGAAAGTGCTTTATTCTATTTTTTACACCCTGCACAAAAACCTTGAGGTAAACAAACCACATTATCCCAAGTTCTGGGTACAAGATTTAATCTAATTAATGGATTTTTAAAGTCTAAGATTCCAAAACTAGTTATAAGGGCAATTCTTTCCTAAGATTTCAGGAGTTCTTGTTACACAATTCAAATAAAGGAAGCCAGCTGTTTCAAGTCCATGTGAATTATTTTAATAGTTATTAACTTCAAGATACTCCATGACACTATACAGAAAGCAAGATCATGAACATTATGGCTTATGGTAGGAAGTATGTTATGAGGTCCACAAATAAATCATTTATTCTCATTGATTACTAACCATACTAGAGAGTACAATATTAAAATATATAACATTCTCAGTAAATTAATCTCACCTTGAAAATCTGATTATTACACATAAAATAGAGCATTTAGAATTTTCATTTAAAAATACAAATCTTACGAAAACTTTAAGAAATTTTAGAATGGGAATTATAAAAGTCAATGCTAAGAATTCTACTTTCAGATGATAGGAATCTTAAAATATTATGAAAAATATTCTTTATTCTGAAAACAATGTCAATACCTGAGTTCCTTTAAAACCACTAGTTGTAGTTTGCAATTGCTGTTTTGGTAACATTAACAAGAAAACACATTTATAATTTAACACTGCAATTACCTGTCAAATAATTAGGAAAGAATAAATGTTCCATATGTATTAGGTTGTTAACATTTTAAAACACAGGGTTCTTTCATTTAGATTTTTGATAAATTGGGTATTATAAAACCATTCGAAAACATTTTTCTTCAACCCCTAAGAATCTATCCCAATGGTCACTGTAACCGAATTAAATGAGTGTTTTGTGGCCTTGACAGTTTATACAACTTAATATATTTGAAGGTGTGATGAAGTAGCGCCATCTTTCCATTTGTGTATATGGTCTGAAATCACAGTTCTGCACAGTGGACACATTTTTTTCTCTATTAGACCATAAGGTGATGCACTCTTCACAAAATATATGCTGACAAATAAGAATTGGCTTCTGAAATTCAGCTTGACATATTAAACAACTATCATCCACATCTGAACACTGCCTCTTGCTGGCAGCCACTCCGTAACTTGGTCACATGAAAAATATTTGCAAAACCTGTCTGAAACATCTCAGATGTCAAAAAAAATCCAAAAGTTTTAGTATGAGGTATAGTAAAGCCAGCAATATCCCAAGACTCCATTTAGTTACGTTACCAAACTCCCCATAGCTTATCAGATAACGGAACCAAACTGGTACTGGGACGAAAGTTCGGTAATACTGACATGATTATTCTAAAAGCATATACCAGTAACCCTTGGATTTAAAAGGCATGATGAAAGAAGGCACCAATAAAATAAGACATTTTAAGCCCATGAAGAAGAATTTCAGAATAAAGTCTGTAATTCCAACAATCCACAGTACTTCCCAGAAGCTCAAATGGTCCAAAGTAGGATTTAAAAAAAATTAAGCTGTCATAAAGGGACTGAGAATGAAAGGTGCAATTTAAAAGAACAGAAGATCCTGCTAAGAATACCAGTAACCAAGCACACTGAATCTTTGAGGACCTTTCTCTTAGAAAAACCTGATTTACAATGCTTTTGTTTGCATACATAAAAGTTGTTAGCAGCCCAGTTCCAAGAGAAATTCCTGTTATATGCTGCATAACAAGTTTGACACCCAGAATCAAAATATACGGAAGACTTTTTTGTAACCACTTGGGTAGCGGAATTCTGAGAAGGAGCAAGGAGCTGCTACCATGTTCTCCAGATTCAGAGGCAGTGTCGTGAGGCTGCCTTGCTTCAATGTGGGAGTGACTCCAAAAGTGACTATGTACACATCCATGGGTACAGCTGTGGACACCTGACCTTATGTTTCGGGAGCTTGGATTTTCAGCACATTCTTTAGGTATGGAGTTTATCTGAATATGAACATCTCCAGCATGAAGACATGAACCTTCTCCTGTCAATCTTGTGTGGACACACTGGGAGGCTGAGGCATGCATCCTCAATGCCTGCAGGACTGTGCAGTTGGCTACAGTGGGCTTGCATGCCCCCGAGTACTTGTTCTCTGATGCCGATCTGTTTGTTTCAGGGCTCTGTCTCCTCTCATGACTAGGAGTGGCCTGAGATCACGGGAGCAACAGCAGGAACAGCGGCACTCGCCACCTCGAGCAGGTCAGCCAGAGCCATCGCCCTGAAACGCCGGAGACCAGCAACTCCCAGGACAACAACTCTTAAAACCAGACAACAAAGCCTAGAAGAAAAATAGCAATATTTTAGTCAAGTCACAGAATGCTATTTCACCAGTTCAGTCTCATGTACTTATTAATCTATCTTCAGTTGTGGTTCGATCTTCCCGATTGAATTCTGGGATATAATATTCAGCTCCAAACTTGTCCCTACAATTAAGTTGGCCATTTTCTTAGTGTTTGAACTCTTATTTCTGTGTGTCTGCATTTAATTTTCCTGACATAGCACTCCCTTGAGAACTTCTTGGAGATCTGGTCTGGTGCTGGTAAATTCTTTCAAGTTTTGTTTATCTGAGAATGTTCTTGTCTTTTCTTCCCATATGAAGGATAATCTTGCCAGGTACAGTATTCTTGGTTGAAATTTCTTTTCCCTTAACACTTT